CGTTGCTATATGCGCCCGCGGTCACGTTGCACTCTGTACGGATAATGTTTACGTTCATTATGTTGATCGACACGTCCGATTCGTGCCATTTTCGCGGTTGTAGTATACGCCTCGAGAAACTCAACAGCGATCCAATGTTATGAGACTTGTTAAAGTTTATTCTGTAGGTGCATTTAATCTCACACCTCATCGTGTTGTAATTTGCGCGGAGCACTATCGGGTATTCTCCAATTTCGTCATCGCCACGCGCGATGTCACCAGCGTTACCCTCGGGCGCGTCGCGTCGCGGACGTTTCTGTAAAATCTCACGTTTCAAAAATTCATTTATGGCATGCAGTTCATACGACCCGTCGGGAATCGTAATTTCTGCATCGTCTTTGCCAAAATAAAATGTATTGTTCGAAGCGTTTACATTCGGTATCGTATGATAAGTCTCCAAAATTGTTAGACCAAGCTCGTAGTCATCGTCGCGCAAATCTATGGCTGGAGAGTAATTTGTCGCGAGAACGCTGCTCTTCCCGCTCAGCGTAAGCGTCAGAGACATGATGGAAAAAGCGTTCGACGAATACTGAAACGTCGCGACATTTTGTCGGACTTTATAAATTCACGCGCATCGGTCGTTTTGGAGAAGAAACCACAAGCACAGCTGTCCGCAGATGCTCTGATCGTACGTCTGATAGGACGTTCGATTGTACTCTATCGTAGCATCGTCTCCGAAATATCGTATCAGTTCCTTGGGCGGTCGAAGATTACCGAAACTGTCAAAGTACACAACGCGATTGTTTCTCTTTGCATACGCTACCCAATGAGTACCGGGACCCGTCGTGTCGTCCAGATTTACGATACCATTTTCATTTCGACGCGCGCCGCTAATCGGTAATGCGTCACGCATGAAAACGCCTCTAAAGTACGGTACGCGCATACGCTTCGCCAACTGGTCCAATTGTACGTTGGTGGTTACACCCGTAGGTATTTTTATCGTCTCTTTGGCATTTTTTTTCTTTTTCGCTGTTACTCTTCGTCCGCGTTTGTACGGAGCGAGATACAGTCCTTGTCCGTAATTGTACGAAGCGAGATACAGTCCCTGTTTCCATCGCGCGACGTTGTAGTTCCTCGAGTTGACGTTGCGCGACTTTCCTGTTGTTTACCGCTTTCGCCACGCTAGCCGCTCCGCCGATTAAGGACCCGAGAGCGCCCAAAATTGGCAAAATCGGTGACACATCACCTCGTTTCGCCGTTGGAAGTATTTGTTTCTTTTTTGTGCCGGCTTTTTTCTTCGCCTTCATACCTATGCCGATCTTGGTCTTGGCTTTTATCGCTGCCCAAACGGCTGCAGCTGCAGCTTTCTCGCTCAAAGCTGAATCTCTCGCGATGACGCGTCCTAAGGCTTTATCGGCGAGTACCTTGTCCGCCGCGTGTCTGTCGGTGAGATCGTTGCTCTGAGAATACGCAATGTCGTGTTCACGGCACGCCGCGTCCAGTGGATTTATGCCGGTTTCACCTCTGGCTAATCGCTTTTTCAGCCGAATACCCGGACCGCAAAACTGATAGCTGAGGATATGTAGTTCGAAAGGAAGCGCGTTTATCGTTTGATTGAGTAGACCTCCAATGTAGCCTTCGTTTGACGCTGTTGCTGGCATAGGCCACAATCCTTTATCTTCGGTGCAGGACCATCTATATGATCTCGATCCCACGATTGATTATAATGCTCGACGCAGCGACGATAGGTTTGAACCTCCAAATCCGCCTTTATATACTCCGGAAGCTTGTCCCACACGTGATCGATATAATTATCGCACACGCGTAACAGTACGACCTTCGGTATATATTGCAATTGCTCAGCGCTCAAATCCCGAATATCGGAGGGATGCGACAGCGCGAGATACATTTTTGCTACTGAGTGATTCGTAGTTTCGCGCGCCTATAAATAGGCGTTCGATCGAAGTCTACATAACACAGTGCGAACATGAAATTTGTACGGCAGCCGCTGACGATACGCGTCGCGAACTGTGACGAGAGAGCGCGAATGATGGGAGACATCACGACGGAGCGCAAGCACGGTGCAATATTACCGAGTACTATACGCGCCATCATTTGCGGGCCGTCGAATTGTGGTAAAACCAATTTTTTCTCTAATAAGCTTGCTCGAGAGTCCGCACAATGTACGTTTCGAGAACGTGTACGTATACTCGAAATCGCTGCAACAACCGAAATATCGATATTTGGAAAATTTACTAACATCGATAGAAGAAATCGACTACTTTACGTTCTACAACAATAGTGACGTTATTCCACCAAGCGAGGCACGTCCCAATTCGATCTTCGTCTTCGACGACGTTGCGTGCGATAAGCAAGATGCTGTGAGAGAATACTTTTCGATGGGCCGCCACTCGATTGCTTCTATCTCTGTCAGACGTACGCGAGGATACCTAAATATCTGATACGCGACAATGCGAACCTACTGATTCTGTTCAAACAGGATGGTACCAACTTGAAACATGTTTACAACGATCGTGTGAATACCGACATGTCATACGATGAATTCTGTGCGTTATGCCGCGATTGTTGGCAGCGCGAGTATGGATTTCTAGTGATAGATAAGGACAGTCCGCTTATCAATGGGCGATACAGAAAGGAATTTAATACGTTCGCGGTACCGTAACGTGGTTAATCGATGTCGATACGTGGAGCAGGCAACATGGATAACAAGATCGCGAGAAAATAGCGAAACAGATTGCGAAAACGAGCGACTCGATTCGCAAAAAATATCGCGCTTTAAAAATTGGTAAAATAGCTGAAGATACAGCGTTGGAGAAACGCTTCAAGCCCATCGTCGAACGTCTAAAACAGATTGTTGAAAAAACCGAGGAATCTCAATCAATTGAAAGAGAAGCAAAGGATCTCGGTATTAAGAAAAAAAAAACGTGAAGACAGCGATGACGACAACGATAACGATATTACTACTACTACTGACAAGGATTCATATTGGACGGATGTTGGATGGTTGAAATTAACGCCGCAGTCTAAAAAACGACGTATAACGAAAGAATTGAAAGCCGCGTCAGATTCTTGTGTTCGAGTTTACACCGATACAACCATCGAAAGACCCACCGAAAGAATCACCGCTGTTTCTGCAAAAGGAAGATGTTTTCGAAACAAAAGACACCAGTGAACCGTCATTCGAAACAACCATCAAACAGAGTCTGCAAATGCAACAAGGTCGAGAGGTGTTGCATAATCAGCTGGGACCATTAGGGCAAAAGTACGTAAGCCCTCTCTTCGATGATAATGGAAAAAACGGTACATTTGATCGCGTGTACGGTGTTTATTTCGAGAAAAACAGTGATGCGATGCTTGATGACAAGAAATTTGACGTTGACAAAAATGACTCCATAATCATAGACAATGTGAGATACAATGGTACACCAGGATTGTACGAATCTTCAAGAGACTTCCCGATGACGCGATTTTTACCGAGAATGATAAACAAACGTATAAAAGTATACTGTTAACAACAAATGCTCATAGACGTGGTCACAGCGCCCATAATCCCATCAAGGGCAATAGGGGATCCAAGTATATTAACATCATCGCTCCGCTCGTATCTACATATGGAAGTAGTGGGCGTAAAAAGGGTGCAGGCGTGAGCAATATATCAACCGCCATGAAGTTAAACGATAATAAGATCGATTACATGCATTGGGACGATCCCAACAAACTGGTGGATCGACTCCGATTGCTCGACGCTTCGCCGAGCTGGTAACAACGCTCACGACAACGAGATGCTGTCGATCATCGAGGAACTTCGCGAAGCCGGCATTATTATAAATTAATCGCGTATCGACGAAACGAGCCAGTCGATTAATGTCAGTGAGGAAAAAAACAATTTTAAATTGTATATCTTATTTATTAAACATCTATTAAACATCGTTGAAACATGCGATCCGATGGACGAAAAAAATGTTAGCTCCGAGAGGCGACGACTCGTTGAGGAATTGCACGCTCCGGCGAGGAGAAATTTTCCACGAAGACGTGTCATAATTCAAGGATACGACGATCTGTGGCAGGCTGACATCGTCGAGATGCGTCCGTACTCGAGTTTCAACAGAGGTCATCACTACATACTCACCGTCATCGATGCGTTGAGCAAGTACGCCTAGGCCGTATCGCTCAAGAGCAAGGTCGGAAGCGAGACGCTAACGCTATCGCTAAGATAATTCGAGAGAGCGGAAGATGCCCAAGAAACTTGCAAACGGATATGGGAAAGGAATTTTACAATGCCGATGTGCAAAAACTCTTGGAAAAACACAACGTTAATCATTATTCCACGTATACGGTGTTGAAGGCATCGATCATCGAGCGATTCAATCGCACGCTTAAGAACGACATGTGGAAGATGTTTACGCTCAAAGGCACTTACAAGTGGATCGACGCGCTACCGCGTCTCGTGTCAGATTACAACGCGCGCAAGCATCGCACTATCGGCATGCGACCCGTTGACGTAACTCCCGCGATCGCCAAAAGACTCTTGGATACGGTATACAGCGCGATAAAGATCGCAGGTCCAGCAAAATTCAAAGTAGGCGAATCGGTACGCGTGAACAAATACAAGACAATTTTCGAAAAAGGTTACATGCCAAATTGGATCACCGAGGTATTTAAGATCGTTAAAGTGCAGCATACCAATCCCATAACTTACCTCTGCTCGAGGACTATCGCGGAAAATCGGTCGCGGGCGCGTTCTACGAGCACGAATTGCATCGCGCGACTCATCCGGATGTGTATCTCGTGGAGAAAGTACTACGCAGGAAGGGAGACAAGGTTTATGTCAAGTGGCTGGGATTCGATAGATCGCATAACTCATGGATAAACAAAAGCAGTGTGATTTAATTCATGTTTCTTATTTTTATAATGTATTAAAAAAATAAATATACATTGTATACATGTATACAAAGAGTTTTTATATTTTTTTCTTCCATTACATTTTTTAAACTATACATGTATGCAACTTACAAGAACACATGTAAAACTACATGTATTATAAACAATATATATATTAAGCCGAGTATACATTAAATAAATCGAAGATAGAATTAAAGCTGATTCTTCAGCAAGCAGGATCTTGGTTGCTATTATAAATTA